CTGGGGGTCGGGGGGGGGGCACGGGACCGTCCTTCCAGCAGCGGGAAAAGGGGCCCCCGTTGGACACCCTCCCCCGATTAGCCTCCTCGCTGGTGGGAAATGTCCGAGCCCAGCCGCGCGGAGGGGAGAACAGAGATGTTGTCGGCTCGCCTCCCTCACCGGACCCTGTTTCAAAAAGCGCGTTGCATTTGTTTGGTGACAGGTCCTAAATTGGGAAGGGAGGAGGGCAGGAAAGGCTCCCCAAGGTGGGGGATTTTTCTTTCTGTCTTTGCATCTTTCGCCCTCTCTCCGCTTTTTCCCCTTCCTTTCTCTTTCATTTTTAAAATTTCTCTCTTTCTTTCCTCCCTTTGTCCCTCTTGTAACTTCCTTTCCCCTTTCCTTCTTTCTTTTCTGATCCTGTTTTTAATCTCCTTTTCTTCCTCCTCCTTTTTTCACCTTCTCCCCTTTTGTTCCTTCTCTCTCGCTGCTCGCTCCTTCCTTCCTTCCTTCCTTCCTTCCTTCCTTCCTTCCTTCCTTCCTTCCTTCCACCTTACTCTCTTTTCCTGTCTTTCTTCTTCCCACTTTCTCCTCTTTCTTCCGAAAGCTCTCCGGATTGTCTCGCTTACCACCCGGCGCCTGACCCGGAACAGCCTCCACTCCTCTCTCGTTCTCCGAATCCCCCGTGGAGGATGAGAGTGTGTGTGTCGGGGGGGGGGGGGGCGGGCGTTCGGCTAACCGCGCTCCTCCAAAAAAGAACAACGCAAAGGCTTTGCGGTGCTCTGAAAAGAACCGGGGTTTTTATTTGGCCTCTGCTTTGGTGAGAGAGAGAGAGAAAGATGTATATATTTATCAATATTTTTCTAGAACGGAATCTCCCCCTCCCTCTTTTCTAGACCTTTGCAAAGGTTCTTTTCTTTTTTGAAAAGAAATTAAAGAATAATAAAGTTTCCAGGCGGGATCTTTACTCCCCCCCCTTTTCAGTTCTCTCCCTCCTCACTTCCTTCTGTTTCTCCTTAAGTGAACATTTCCTCGTTCGCTCAGTCTGCCTGCCTGCTTTCCTCTCTCTCTCTGTCACTCACACACACACACTTTTCCTACCCCCTCTTTCCTCCTCCCTCCCCCCCATTTCGCCTTTCCCTTCCCTTCGCGGGGGTTGTGTCTCTGCGGGGGGGGGGGAAGCTCCTGCCGGCTTCCAAACGGGTTCCTTGCGCCACCGCGAGAGATCCAGACCCGACGAGGCCAAGGGCAGCAGAAGCGCAACCGACCGATCCATGGAAGGGAAGAGAGAAAGAGGGAGGCGGGTTTTCCTCTCCTTTTGCGCTCTCCCCATCCACACGGATAAGTCCAACCCGAAGGGCGCCGCCGGCTTGGGCCGCCCGAGCTCTCTCGGAGCCCTTGATTCGGAGGGACTTCTGATACGACCCGCCCCCGTGCCTGGATTCGGGGCCGGAGGGGCTGCCTAGTTTGCGCCCCCTCCCCCGGAGACACTTTGTTCGACCAAGTTGGGGGGGGGGACGTCGGGGAAAACAGGCCCCTTTCGCTCTCTCGCTCTCTCTCTCCCTCCGGATCGAATGGAATCCGGATTTGGTTGAGATTCGAGCCTGGAGGGGGGGGGGGAGAAAGGAGCCTCCAGCGAGAGAGGCCGGAGAGCCTCGGTGGTGGCTATATTTTTGGCTTTTTAAGACTGTAATTCAAAGAAACAAATGCGTTGGAAGCGAAGAATGTGTTCGCGTGTGTGTGAGAGAGAGAGAGAAGGGGAGAGAAAGGAGAGACCGAAGGGGCCCACCTGGTTGTCGCTCAGTTCTCAGAAAGTGGGGCAACGCGTCCGGAAACGGAGTGCGCGAAGCGCTTCGGAAGCGGGACCGAACCGGGGTTTCGTTGCCTCCTGAAAGGGCCGGTCCCGGCGGGGCCTGAGCGCCAGTGAAGGCTGGCTCCCCCGCTGTTTTCTAGGACGGATTCCTCGCTTTACAGGCACTGAAAATGGCCGCCGTGAGTTATTCAGCCCATTGGAACACATTGAACGGGTTTTCAATGCGTTTCAATAGGATTTTTTCGTTTTGTTTGACAATGTTTTCGCTCTACAGCGATTTCACTGGAATGAATTAACATCGTCAAACGAGGCACCACTGTATTAGGGTCGTTTTGTTTTCGGCCTCCGGCCTCCCCGGCCAAGGCCGCCCAAGGCAGCGGGGGGCCACCCCGGCCCACCTAGGCGCCCGTGCCCCGCTTCCCCACTTTCTCATTACAGTAATTAGAATTGTAATGACCGTCGCGGCTTTTTCTTGTTGTTGTTTTAAATTTATTTCCCGGTTTTCCAGTGCTACAAAGCGGTCTCAATTCGGCCCAGACGAAAGATAATGATTTGGAGAATAATAACGACAGTAAAAATGATCCTCAGAGCGTTCAGTAACGAAAAAACAATTCTTGATTTTGATAACCCCCGGTTGGGTTAGCGCAAAACTTATTTTTTTTCCCCCCTCCCCCTGGGCCAAGCAGCGCCGGGAAGCTTCGAGAAGCGTCTTCAAAAGGCAATCCCACGAAACGAAAGCGGAGTCACTTCGGAGGGAGGGTCTGTGTCGGAAAACGCTTCTTGCTCCGAAGGGCCCGCCTGAGAATTAGGGATCCCGGGAGGCACCCTGTACCTTTCTCTTTCCCCCCCCCCCATAAACCCACCGATTTTATTTCGCTCTCCCTTGTTGCGTTTTCTCGCGCCCGCCCCAAAACAGAAAGGGTTTGACATCCTCTCCCGCGGTTACCGTTAACAAAGAATTAAGGTTTCAGTAGAGAATTGGGTGGCAATTGGAGGGAAACCCCCCCCCCGGGAGCAAAAGCCGGAGCTTGGTGAGAACCGTTCAAATCAAAACCGGCCTCAAAGCGAAATCAGCGTTGGAAATCCCACCCGAGAGTTTAAAAACAACAGATTTTTTAAAATAAGAAGGCGCGAGGGCGGAGGGGGCTGGGGGGGGGAGTAAAAGGAGCACCCGGCCCCCGCCACCCCCAGCCCCATAAAGCAGGGGTCAGAGCAAGTTCCTCCATCCTCCTCCCTTCCTCCTTTTTATTTCTCATTTTCCTTTCTTTTGTTATTTCTTTTCCCGCATTTCGGAAAACTAGATAAGGACCGTTCCCTCCAAGGTATCGGATGTAGGAGGAAAAAGAGACTGAGAGAGAGAGAGAGAGAACTGTATAGGTTTATTATACAATATTTTGCATGCACTAACGTACCCAATATTGTTCATATAAAATATATATAATGTTTTATATTGTATGCATTTATTGTACATATAATGTTATGTACATATCATAGTATAATATGTTATAATATTTTAATAGATATTTCTCTATTGATATATTATTAATAGAGGAAATAGACGTGCTTGCAAACACATCTAATAATATAGGCAGAGTACTATCTATAGCATGCAGCGTCGTAATTCATAGCTGGCTGAATTGCTCAGTGCGGTTGAGGTATCTGGGCGGTGGAGCGAGAGGCTGAGGGTCTGATTCTGGGCCTCCTTGTGAGTAGAGCCAGACTGTGCGGCCTTGGGCAAGTGGCACGGTGGTCTCTGGGCACCCCCCCCCCAGTAGAAGAGACTGGGAAAGTACCCCGGAATATGCTGTAACTAGAAAATTATATTGTTACATGCATGCGTGTCTCAGAGAGAGTATTAAATGTGTATAACACACTTTCTTCCATATATGGATATATGTTACATAGGTACTCTTATGTACTAGAACCACAAAATACTACAGAGAGAGAATATTTTGTGGCTATAAGAAACGTAAAGAATATAAATATTCTGCGTGTATCTGTCTTTCTGCGTGGAGAGAGAGAGAGAGAGAGAGAAAGAGAAAGCAATGCATGTAACCCAGTGGTACATCACAGTAGAGAAGACCCATTGAATCAGTGGGGATCTGGTGAGTCAGCTCCTCGGCCAGTTCCACTGGTTCAATGGGTCTACTCTGGTTGCAACTTGCTGCTGGATTTCAGCCAGCGAATGCAGGACGAGAGAAAAAGCAAAGAGAGAATCAGAGGTGAAACCCAATGACAGGGTTGAAAACCAGGTCTGAAGCGAAGGTCTGAAAGCAACCCGGGCGGCTCTGGAACAGCCTGGGGGGGGTGAGGGGGCAGAGGGGGCTTCACCTCAGCATGCGCCCCCCCCAGCAGACCCTGTGGCGGGCAGGGGTCAGTAGTGCCCCGGCTTGCCTCAGTCGGTGCAGCCGGAGCGATATTTATTGGGGGGGGGCATAGGCACTTCTGGGAGGAGACCCAGCCACCTTTAATATCAAGGGTCTGTCATATTTTAAAATGTTTTCCGAGAGGGGTGATGGTCACGTGCGTCTGGTGTGCCAGATATGACCAAGTGTTCTGTGGTATGCAGAAGATGAAGGCTGTGGGGAGGGAGCTTCCTCAGCTCAGGTACAGGGTGCCCAATTTACACCTAAAATTCTGGGCCTTTAACAAAGCCAGCTGTAGTTCAAGAAAAGTTCCACCACAACAAATTACGCCAGCCACTGAATTATCACAAGGCTCTTTGTCATGATGAACATGAAGGTGTATTTTACATGTTGTTGAGGGGCTGGTACTGTACTTGGGCCCAGCTGGGAACCAGAAATGGAAAGGCAGCCAGGGGCCAAATTCTGCTGTGCCTCTTGGTTTATGTTTGCATCGTTAAGTGTCAGAGACCGCCTCTTAATGAAGGAACAAGGGGGGGGGAAGGGTGCTCAGATTTTGAGGCCTGAGCTGAAGGTCTGGGGCTTTGCTTCTGATCAAAACGAGAGTGTCTGGTTTATAATTGGGATTAAAGAGAGCCAGCCGTGGCTCTGCATTTCTGGGCCCTTTGGAGAAATATGGAAATGGTTCCCCCCCCTTTTTAAATGTGATTCCTCCGACAGTGGGTAAATGGCAGTGTTTTTCAAGCTGAGGACCTCTGTGCCTCCCTGTTGCCTCCATTGCCGAACAGTTTAGAAAGATGTGGAGTTATCCTCCAAGGCCTGTGGAAGCAGGGCCACCCCCACCCTCCTCATGACTGGCTGGCTAGGGCTGATGGACATTGTAGTCCCCCCCCCCAAATCTGAAGGGTCAAAGTCGCTTTACCTCTGCAGAGGCCAAAGGGGTGCATCAGAGAGTCCACACGCACCCATTCCCTGGAAGGTAAGTGCCGTACTCTGGTAGAGTGGATAGACTGGATAGACTGCCATGGAGGCAGGAAGTTCTCTTTCTCCACCATTCCTCAGAGCCATTAAGAAACCCTCAGCCTTCTCTCTTCCCTTCTGCTCCCTAACTTTCCTTCCAGTGGAACAATGGCTTCGAAAGGTCTGTGGGTGCTCCCAGTTTATTATTTTATTATTTTTGGATAGCCATCCTTTGTAAACAGACACCCCGAATCTTTGAGCCTCTTTTTGAAGGAAAATGCTCAGCAGAAAATGCTTGTGAATGTTATTTTTCCCCCTGCCTGCCCAAAACAGGATTGCTGTTGGAGGGGGGTGGGGGGGAGTTCAGGGGTCAGGATTGAGGCCCTGGGTTAAAACCCTCTTGCTGTGGGATTGGGCGAGGAAGGAGGTGAAGCTGGCACCCAAAGGAGGATGCTGCTGGTAGACATGATCTCCCTCCCTCCCTCCCTCCCTCTCTCTGTGGTTGCCCTCCAGCTTTTTTCCTCTCTCTTTTCCCAGGGAACTCTGCTTGCCTGCGTGTCGGTGGGCCTCAGCACCAGCTGCCTCCGTGGAGAGCAGCAGCCTTGCAACCTGTGGGGAATCCCTCCAACACCCCCTCCCATGAAAAGGTTATCCCACTCACAGGCGCCCTCTAGGGTCCCTGGTGGAAAAGTGCGAGTCCAGCTGCCTCTCTCGGTCGGTCCAGCCCACCTTTACTGGTGTTCTAATCCAGCCTCAGAGGAGCTGGTCCACAGGCAACGCAAATCATCCACGAGAGGGTGAAGGGTTCTTGTCAGCACTTTTTAAAGAGAGGATCCTTCGGCCAAAGTCGTCAGGAACTGGCCTCCTTTGCGCAGTCGAAGGTGCAAAGGCCTGGCATTCTCAAGACCAGGCAGCCTCTTTCGCTTCCTTGCTCCCTCCGTGCCCTCAGACCTGGATCAGTCCACATGCCCTTTGAACCTAAACTTGTGACCTTCAAAATCACCCTGAGAATGATGGGAGAATGAGTCCTTTTCCTCAGGAAAAAGGGGATGCTGGGTTTTGTTCCTATTTCTTAACAGCTTTTATGACCTGCTTTTCCAGGAGGTGCCGCACTTGACCCTCCCCATCGCCCTTGAAAGTCACACAACCGCCCTGTGAGGTAGCAAAGGCCGGGTTCAGTTTCCCCACCCGTAGCAGGAGCGCTTCTGGCAGGTCACGAGGAGACGAGAGGTTTCTGGCTCCTTGTAGGCTCGACGGTTTACGGTTTTAATTACATGACCATGCTGGGAGTCCAATAAAGTAATCCAATAAATTAATTCAAACTCTGATTCATCTAGTCATTAAAATAATGAAATTTCTTTCTGAAAGGCATAGGAATGTGTGTGGCATTAATGGTGTGAGCCACCTCGGGTCCTTTTTTAGGAGAAAGGTGGAGTAAAAACATTTTAAGGACCCCTGTAGCCAGTGGGGATTTGTTCCAAGCCACTGCCCCCACAGATGCCGAAAAAGGCGAATCTGGGGGAGGGCAAGGGAGGGCCAGGCCCTCATAATACGGCATGTGTATTCATTGTATTAAGGACATAATTTGTAGCACCCTCTTCTGGCACCGGATTGTATAATTTAATTATTCTCAGCAATTTAGGTTCCCAAATTCTTAGGTCTTTGGCCTGCAAATGCTCACAGGGTCTGCGGACCATGAAGCAAAAAACGGGGGAGGGGGTGTGTGAAGCTCCCAGGAACCTCCAGGCCCTCGGGGTGGGGGTGGGGATCATCCCCAAAAGAGAGCGAGTCCCTGTTCCCATCCGCACAGGTTGGATAGGAAGGAAAGCGAGCGAGGATCTCGCCTGTCCTCCTAATTTCCAAGGCGGTTGTGTCAACATTCACACTGAACAAGCTGAGTCAAACCTGCCGGGGGATAAGAGACCTCCATCCTGATTCAGCCCCAGGTGATAGAAGGAGAATTTCTCTGTTTGTTGGAGCTGAGCATCTTCTGGCTTCGGTTTCCCTCGGAGGAGGAGTCTCGGCTCCCAGGCTGGGCCACACTGGAAGCTCAGTGGCTGTCAGTTCATGGTGCGCGTATGTGGACGCGTCCAGGATCCCACTATCCCCGGGTCGTGGCCTTTTCCACCTCGCTTGTCCACCTTGCAGGGGGTGAGTGCTTGGCGGAGGTTAAAGGTACCGGGGCTGTTTGAGGGGCGGGACCAGGAACTGCCCGGCTCTAACATGTTTGGTCTTTCACAGGGTCTGCTGTTTTCGTCTTGCTTGGCCAGGGCCTGCCTTCGAGAGGGAAAGCCGGCCGTGCAGAGAGGGTGCCCGGCATCTCCTGGATGCGACTTAACTCTTTGCCCGCTCCTCAAAGGTGTTCCCCTTTGTCCTTGAAGGAAGAAGCTTGGAGAACGCCGAACCTTGTGAGGTAGGTTTGGCTTCGAGGGGGAGAGCGGGTGGCTGCCCAAGAACTCATGAGGGGGGGGGGCGGCAGAAACTTGATCCCAGGAGGGCAACCATGGCACAACACTGTCCCCCCCCCCTCATATCTAGAGGCAGCCTTGCTTGGGGTTAATTTAAAAAACAAACAAACCACCAAGGAACTTGTGTAAGGCTGTTTCTCCTGATCACAGAGGAGGGGACTCTGCTCTGTGGTTAGAGCAGCCACTGATCCCTGGCATCTTCTAGGCGTGGCTGTTATCTGCTCTCAATTCATTTTTGACTGAAGTTAGTGGCCCTATAAAAGAGCCGTCTCCGAAATGTTCTGTTCCCCTGATCAGCTCTTTCAAACTCAAGCCTGTGGCTTCCTTGACTGAGTCGATCCATCTCACATTCCAGCTCTTTCAAACTCAAGCCTGTGGCTTCCCTGACTGAGTCGATCCATCTCACATTCTGCCTTCCTCTTGGCCTGCTGCCTCCCACCTTCCCCAGCGTTATTATTATTATTTTTTGCCGTGTACTATTTGTCTTCTCAAGATGGGTTCAAAACATGAAGGTCTTGCTTTTGTCCAAAACCCTGCAGAACCGCTGACCCTGAGCCAGGTGGGTGGCAGGGATCTGGCCTGCAGTGCCTCAGTTTCCCAGGTTCTCTGGCTGTGGAGCCAGAGGTTGGGAGTTTGATTCCCCCCACGGTGCCTCCTGGAGAGGGGATGGACTGCGACCCGGGGATGAGCGAAGGAAACAGAGAGGAGCCTCCTGCAAACTCTGACGGCTTTCCTGTGTGAAACAAACCGGCTTACGGAGCTTCGCGAAGGCAGGCCTGTCGGGAGTGAAGGGGAGACCGTGTGCAAATGTGCCAAGCTCTACCCCTCCTCTCCCCCTGCCCCCCCCTGCCAACACCCCCTCCCCACTCATATTCGCCTCATCTTCAGCTAATTGTGGAAACAAATTCTTGGAAAGCTTCTGGCAGGGCTTTGCAGGCGGCTGGTGTGAGGAATGGTTCCCCCAGGGCTCATCTGAGTAATTTATGGGTCTGGTGACATGAGTAGAGCGCTCTGCCAGGTATCAAGGTCCAAAACCATTTAGGGCTTTATATGTAAGCATTAATACCTTGAAGTCAATGCCGAAACGAATGGGCAACCAGTGTAAAACTGCCAGGGTGGGGAAAATATGATGATAATTTTTCACCCCAGTTAATAGTCTGGCGGCCATGTTCTAGACCATTGGTAGTTTCCACATCAATCTCAGCTCCACGTAGAGTGCATTACAGTAGTCTAATCAATAACAATAATAATGAAACAGAACATTTGCCTTAACACTTACTTTTTTAAAAAAAAATCTTAAATCTAAAGTGCACTACCTATTTGGCTGAAGTCATCAATAACATTTTTTTTTACAAGCAGAAAATTCTAATTTTTAACTTAATTTTTTTAAAACCTCAGGATGAGCAACTGTGGCTTTAATGATCTTAGAGCACTACAACATTAAGAACAACAGAACATTAAAGACATTTTAATGTAAATATTTACTCAAAAGCTAGCCTATTGTACTACTATCATTTTTTGGGGATATGATCCCTCCCTATGCCTCCCTCCCCTCCCCTATGTAAACTCACATTAGTGCATGTTTGACTATTAAAAATAAAAATCAGGCTATTAAAAATATAATTCAATCAATACCCAACCTTAAAAACTCTTATAAGGGAGAAAAAATTGAAGTGTTTTAAGGCATTTCAAAACAGAATATTGAAATTATTCTTTAAGAATTTTTATTTCACTTCTAGACTCCAAATCTACCCCGCATTTCTAGTAAATAGATTTAAAGGCATAGTGTGCTGAACTAATGGATTAAAATTATTAAAGTCATGCCATAAAATTAAAATAAAATGTAAATATTGGACCAGGTGCGGTTGCATCCTGACCCCCCCGCCAAAAGACAGGGCATGGGGAGGAGCCAGGTAATCCCTTCCACATCTCCAGTTCCTACCTGGACACCCAGCCTCTGTGTCCCCCCCATATAAGCTTGGGGTCCCCCAGAGGGTGCGCCCTGGACCCATTGGGCTGCCCCAGGGACTCCCTCCCTCCAGGCCAAAGTTTTGATCCTGCAGGGCCAGCTTGAATACCTCGCCGTACCTGGGTGGCATTTCATGGGCAGGGCGGTGGGGGAGCGAGAGGCCCGGCCAGGCCCCTCCTCCTGGACCAGGTGCGGTTGCATCCTGACACCCCCGCCAAAAGACAGGGCATGGGGAGGAGCCAGGTAATCACTTCCACATCTCTCAGGAGCCCGATCCAGGCACAGCCGCTGAGGTGCCCGGAAAGGGTACCCCCGTTCCTGGGACGTGTTCCGCACACACACACATTCTGGGGCCGGATCTGGTGAACTCATCGGCTCAGTGGGGAGGTCTGGGCCAGAGCGGTGCCTCCCCCTCTTCCCCCTCTTCCCCCTCCTGTTGCGGCTGCCTGCGCCCCCTCCTCACGATTAATCAAAGCCCAGGCCAGATGCCAGCGGGACGGAGGGGGAGGCGGCACCCCTCTTCCCCCCCCACCCCCCGCTGTGGTTTTGGCGCATGCTCCGGCCAAGTGGGCTCATCCGGTTTGCTCTTTGGACAGGGTGCAAGGCCCGGTTTCCGAGCTTCTTCCCCCCCACAAAAACATACAGACACACACGATCTCTCCCCCCCCCCTCTCTCACACACACGCACACACGCACAAAAGCCCCCAGGCCAACGGCACCTGGCTTCGATTAAGAGCGCCTTCTGGCTCCCGGCACCAAGCCCTGGGCCTTGAAGGCTCCCCGCCGGCCACCGAGCAGGCAGGCAGCTGCGGGTGCGTGGGGGGTGCGTGTGTGTTGGGGGGGGGCTAGCCCTTGCGGGGCCACTTTCTGGACGGTGCCCAGAGCAGCAGCTCCCCCCTCCCTTCCCGTCCCCCCAGGCCTGGACTTTCGCTCCCTTCTCGGGATTTGCCGTCTTCGCCAAACTTCTGCAGCAACGGCAGACTTTGGGGGGAAGCGGGCCGGGGGGGGGGGGGGCAGAAGTGG